GGGGGGGGGGGGGGGGGGAGTAAACAGTCTGAACATCGCACCGTGGAGGCAATGGCAGTCGTCCCTGCAGTGTAGTCGGGGTGTACAGGACCATCGGAGCCTGTAGCTTTGTGTGGCAGCGATTCGTAATGATCTCGGGGCAAAGGGAGTCTGCTGGGGGCCAGGCTCCACTAGAAGGGTTTCTTCTCCCACCTGTGTCCGTGTTGTGCAGGCTGGTACGTGGCTTCTTCAGACTCGAGAAATAAACTGCTTCTGTGGCACTGTCTCCATTAGACTCTGCTCGCACACGGGCATGTCGCGCATGTGCCCACGCTCATTTGCCATTCTGCTCACCACTTACTGTGATGTGGTTTGCTTTAGTTCAGAAACATACTAAGATTTAACCATTTACTCTGTTTATTCTAACAATTAGAGAAAAGTAAAAAAAGTAAAGAGGGAATACCAAAAAATGGAAGGAATTAGCATAGACTATAGAGCAGATGTTTGGGAGTCTTGTGTGATGAGCATCACCCCTGGGCTCATAAGTCCTTCCTCTGAAGGAAGATCCGAGCTCACAGTGTCAGTAGGATAAAACAAAAGCAAAATAACATGCTCTTCGTTCTCTGAGAGTCCGTTGTCAGTGGAAGAGAGGAGAGGGAGAAAATCCCATTTCCTCCTCCACCTCTAAAACAGGAAACTAGGTGACATGCCTCACAGCTCATTGTAGAGTTCGGCATTTTAGTTCAGGGGTTAAGCTATACATTGTGAATTCTATCCAGTGAGTTTTTCTATAGAGTCCCACTATGTTAAATGTGGCTCCTAGCCACGTGTGACCATTACATTTAATGAATTAGAATTAAATGCAGCTAATTCAGTTCCTCAGTTCACACTGGCCACAGTTCAGATGCTCAGTGGCCACGTGGCCCTCAGTTCCGTGTTGCACACACCACGAGGAAGGTTCCCTCAGCCATCCCACCGTGGAGCGTGCCTGAGTCCCCCCATCCCTTTCTGTGGGTTTTAAGAATTGAAAATAAAGTTTCCCAGCAGTGTTAGTTGGAGTTCAGATCTAAGTGGCTAAAGTTTTGCATTTCACTAAGAACCAGCAGCTTCAGTGATTGAGAGAGCAGCTAGGCTCCGGGCCAGCCAAGGGAGTGCCTTGGTCTGAATGCCTCCCAGAGCCATTAAGGAGGAGGAAGGAAGGAGGAAAGCATCCAATTATCTGGCTGCTCTCCTGTCCTGTGTGGTGAGCAGGCTCCGTGCTGCGCACCGAGAGCTCCTCACAGTATGTGAGGGTCTGCTGTGGGTCAGCTTGTCAGACAGTGCAGACCCTGGCCCAGGTACCACCTTCTGACTACCTGGTGCACCGCCCCTGGTGGCGGGGCAGTTTGTCATTTGTGCTGAGGGAACACGTCTCTTTCATTTCATGGTGTTTTCTGAGAGCACTCGGCAGAGAAAGCAAATAGTGTCCAAGTTTCCAAACGGAAGCCCTGAGAGCTGAGGCGGCGGCACCACCTTTTTGGTTCAGAGCAGGACGTGACTTAGTTCCCTGGAATGCTTACAACCCTTAAAAGAAACCCAGGGTTGAAATAAAACTTCATTTTAAAAAATGTTTTTATTTTTTATTTTCTTAGGAAGGGAGAGGGAGAGAGTGAAACATCAATTGGCTGCCTCTGGCACATACTCTGACCGAGGACTGAATCCACACTCTGGGCATGTGCCCTGACGGGGAATCAAACTGGCAACCTTTCGGTGTACGGGATGACGCTCAACCAACAGCCACACTGGCCAGGGCAACCTGCCTTTTTGAATATCCCAGGTTGGAATATTCAGTGCTTTGAGGGTCAGGAATTGAGCTTGTTGTAACATGTAGTTTTATGTCTTCCAGCCACTTGTTCACAGTCACGAGAATTTTGTATTAAGGAGAAAGCACTCATTTTTTCTAAAGTGCCTTTCTGTTCCATCAGATTTTGTAATCTGAAGCATAAGAACACTCAGCTTCTTAGAGGGAATTACAGACAGTTACGTCCACGTCAGCAAAGCAGGGTCACCTAGGTGGGCAACCAGTGGCTTGCCCAGCCTCACTTGCTGCTGGCTGTTGTTAGCCTCATGCGGACAAGGTGTGTGGTCAAAGAGCAGGTGTCCAGAAAGCTCTGGTTATATGCTTTTCACTGAATTTTAAGTGTTGGGTTCTGTAAGATGGAACCAACCCAGACCCTCACATGACACCTGCTCCCTCTTCCTGCATCCTGCGTGCCTTCACTGGGGTCCAAGACCTCCTGCCCCTGTTTTGGGGGTGAGGGTACAGCTCCCCATGCTGTGCATCCCACAGAAATGGCCCTGTGACAGCAACATGAACTGGCTGGCTGCCCCTTGAAGTTCTGTGGGTGGTAGGGCCTTGTGAAGGTTTCTGAACTACCTGCGCTCTGGTGTTTCAACTTTTATGCCCCAACTGCCCTGATTGGCAGTACCGCTGTATTGCAGATGGAAAAGGAGGGGTTCAGACAGCTCTGACAGAGGTCCCTAATCATGGTGTGCCGTCACACTAACGGCCGTGGGTACAAGGCCACCTGGGACCTCTCATGGGTGACAGTACTGCTGCCTCCAGGTGTGGGGAAGATGGACCCTGTGTGATCCTCTGCGTCCTGCCACTGACAGGAGGAGCAGGATCCAGACCTGTGCGGATGGACTGGGCAGGACTGTGGTGTCTGGGCTCAAGCCCCAGCGAGACCACCAGGTCCAGGCCCAGCTAAGCAGCTGCTGGACACTGGTGATAAATGCTTCATGGAACTTGATCTCCTTGTCCCTGCGTAAGCGTCTGGTCCTTATGCGAGGAGCCATCCGCACGGAACACGGAATTACTGTGGGAGGTAGCAAATAGCCAGGCTCAGGGAGCAGGCCCCCATAGGGCACTTAGACCCACCTGCCAGTGCACCCAGACTGAAGGTGCAAGGCGTAATTGCTGGTCTTTGTTAGGTAATTGCACCTCATCTCTGTTTCTGTTGCAAATGTGACATCTGTGTGGGCACTCCACACCTGTGGGGCTGACATTGTCCCCCAGCCCTGATCTCAGAGGGGCTGTACACAAAGTGGGTGCAACACGCACTCAGGGGGATGAGATATTACCAAAGGGCCCAGCCCAGCCTGGGAGTTGGGCTTATGAACAGCCTGGCAGAGCTCGTGAGATGATCCCCTGATGCAGAATCCGCCCTGGCCTGCAGTCCCCACCTGCCCCCATCTGCCCCCCAGGGTGGCATGCCCAAGGTGCTGCGTAGCGGAACAGAGCGAGGTGTCTGGTCTGTTTAGCCCACACCCAGGAGCCCTGCGCTTTGTGGAGCTGCTCAAGCTGGTGGGCCCTGCCCACCCATCCCTCCCTCTACACAGGCACCTTGGATGGGGCTGCAGTATTCCCTACCCCCAGCCACGTCCCCTCCCACTTTCTCCTCTCTCCGTGGCACTGGGGCAGGATTTGGACTGTCTCTGCTGTGCCCCCGGAACCCGGTACAGAGCCTGTGCAGCAGCTCAGGCCTTACCTGTCTAATTAATCAATCTGGAATTCCCCAGAGAAACAGAACCAATAGAAGAGAGTTTTAGGTTCCTAAGGAATTGGCTTACAGGTTTGTGAGGCTGGCAGGTCTGAAGTCCGTGGGTGGGGACTTCGAGCAGGACTTGATGCCAGTCTTAAGGCAGAATTCCTTTTCTCCAGAAAACCATCCTGCTGTGTACGACCTGGCTACTCTCCACAGCAAAGGCGCATTCAGGACAGATGCGGGCGGAGGGCTAGGGAGATGCCTTGGGAAGGCTAGGGAGATGCCTTGGGAATGTCCCGGAAGAAGGTGTGAGCTAAGAAGGTGCAGGAAGAACATGCAGGTGGAGGGCAAGAAGTGGTGCAGGTTCAGGACTGAGGAGCCTGCACGTCCCTGTGTTTCATCAAGTCCCAGACGCCCAGTGTGAGATGCCTGCGTAACTGACGGAAGTTCACTGCCAGTTCGGTCACTGTGAGACCAGAAAACACGCATTGCTAAAGAGGGCTCCCGGGAGGAATGCCTCTCACTCACTTTTGTGTTCTCACGCAGGCGCCCTAGTATTTGTAAGCAAGTCCACCCTCAGGGTCCCACCCCTGCACCACGTTCCTTCCTTCTCACATTCTCACTTATTTGAAGTAGTCAGTGTCTGCGGCCGCTGCCATCCTCCCTCCCCCCACCCGCCCCTCCATCTCCCATGCCTCCAGCATAGGGGGCGCAGTCATTGTATGGCATCATCTCCTGCCTCCAAGGCAGGGACCTGTGCTGGGGCCTCTGCAGCTGCATGCAGGGCCCCTGTCCTCACTGTGTCTCCCTCTCGCTCAGAGCTTTAGGGCATTCATTTTATCAACCACATGCAACACTGGCTCTACCTTTATGAAGAGCAGGGGGTGGGCACAGAGATTTGAGCAGATTAGCAGCAGGTTTGACTTCATCTTTAAAGCTCACCAAGCAACTGGACAGTGTGGACTCGGGTGGATGGTCAGTGGCCCTGATGTCCAGGGAAGGGATGCAGTGGCTTCGGTCCAGGAGGTGGCGGGGGATGGGTGGGAACACAGCATTCTGGGGGTGTGCCTGGCAGAACCCAGTCATGTGGGGCGTGAGGACAGAAAGCAGTCACACTGATTCTGAGGCGGGACCTGAGTGGCCAGGAGTGGCAGTGCCATTTCCCGAGACTAGAGCGAGGTTGTTCAGAAGGACTGGAATATCCCTGCGGTAGACCAATCTGAAGAGGAGCCGCAGTGGTTGGACGGGTGCACCTGGAGCAGGTGAGGTCTGGGCTGCGGGTAGAATTTGGGGATCACAGATAATAGATATTTCAGCCAGGCTCCTGGATGAGGTCACGGGGCGGAGAATGTGTTTGGAAACAAGACTCCCACTGTCGCAGCTCCCTAGGATGGGGACAGCCAGGCGCATTTAAACACAAGCGCCAGCC